GAAGGAGTTTTTTGTTTGTTTTTGGAGGGAGCAAGGAAGCCATGCCAGCACCCCTCAAACTACAGGCCACTGTTGACCAGACTATACCTTTATCAGTTAATGCACACATACACCTTGTCTCTGCCATTAATTTGTACATAACCTTGGGTAAGTCACTCTACCCAGAAACTTGGTTGTCCTGCCTGTAAAATGAGAGAGCTGGAGTTGGTTCAATTCAATTCTATGGACATTTGGACATTTCTTTATTAAGCCCCTACTATGTGTAAAGCCTGTTAGCTGATGTCAAAGGTCATTGACGCTGGAGGATTCCACCTCACACATCCCAACAGACACATATGCATAGATATACCTCCCATCAGACTTATTACACCATGGCACATTCCCTCGGTTGTGGGCTCACCATTCACAATGTACCCACATGCACTCATACACTGCTTCCCCAAAGCACAGTCACATATGTGTGTATACACACACATGCCTACACTTACACACACACACACACACACTACCACCACCACCACCACCACCACCAGCATACCCTATCATCCATTTCTCACTCAATGCACACCTGAACCCCGCAAACTCACACTCTCGCACGCGCGAGCACACACACAAATACGCACACAAAATCTGCAGCACACCAACTGTTTGGGGAGGGAGGGGGGCGGGGAGTGGTGATGGTGGCAGGGAGGAAGAAGCCCATAGATTCATTTGAGAGAGAAGGAGAGAGGGGAGGGGTGGGGGGAGAGAAGAGGAGAGAATGACAGACTGCAATCCCCCTTGAGTGCCGATCCTCATGAATATTAATAAGGTGGTAATTAAAATGCAGGGACACAGCAGGATGGATACAGGCACTGCCTTTGGAGCACTGGGAACGGGAGAGAGCGTCTTTGCAGGCAGGTTTTGATTCCGTTCTCTGATGAAAAGGAGAAAACGGAGCCTTCAACTTTAATCAGTTTAGGGGTTTTTTTTTTTTGACAGGACATATCTTTAATTGCGATAGTCCTGCTACCCTGAAACCCAGTTGAATCCTTTCCTGTCCCTTGTCCAGCTGCCGATAATGAGTTCCAGCCCCAGCATCCTTCCTCCCCTTGCCCTGTCCCTCCCAGGCATGGTTTCCTTTTTATTTTCCCTGCCGATGAGTAGGTTTGCCAAATTTCACCTCTCAGCCTGTGGTCACCAGCAGGGCCTGCCTTTCTGGGAAACGGGAGCACTTTCCAGGACACTGGGTGCCCTTGCTAACCCACCATTCTCTTTCCTGCCCTCTCTCCAATGTCATTTTCAACCAAACTTTGCATTTTTGAGGATGCTGACTCTAGGTGGCAGTCACCTGCCCTTCACCCCTCCCCTTGCTCACCCACAAGTCTTTATTATTTAAGTATGGGATCCACTACTGCCCAGTTTGGTATGATGAATTTCAGGCTCTCAGACCCTATGGCATAATATTCCCAGCCCACCTGGGGCTTGGAGCTGGACAAAACATGGAGCAAAAGCCACATTCTTCCCAGTGGGTTTGAGGTCTAAAGTAGGCTAGCAGATGGACAAAGCCCCTTCAGCATGAGAAAGGGGCAGGTAGTATATTCTGGGGTGGGAGAAGGGGGGAGGGAAGTTTCATGGCTTTCTGAGTACCCCCGAGGGGTCCAGCTGGTCAGCTCCAGGGATGCCAGGCCACACTCCAGCTTGCTCAAACCGGCCAGGTCACAGCTGACACAACAGAGAGCAGAGCTACTCCTGCTCTCTGTCTCCCCTCCCTACCCCAAAGATTTTGGGTGTCAGGGGGAGGCACCCTCTCCAAACCAATTCAAGACCCTATTAGTAGACTAGTATTAAGAGCTGGGGAAAAAATCTAGGCATGGAAAATCATTAGAAAGCTTCAACCTGCTCCCACTGCTAGGCCTGCATTTCTTAACCTGAGCTCCTTGAACTTTTAAAAAATATTTTGATAACCATTTCAGTCTAGATTTTACCACACTGCTAAGGGTTCCACAGCACAAAAAAACCCCCAAACAAAAACCCCAAAACTCCTATACGAAGCTTATGTTGATGAAGATCAGAGAAACAGAGAGAGAATTTGACATAGATCAGAAACCAAGACATGCAGCACTTAACTGTATACTAACCTTGGCAGTTTGGTGTCATGTATGTGTAGGCTTGTCTCCCTATCCGATTATGAGTATGTTGAGGACAGAGACCAGGTCTCATACTTTATGCACAAAGTGGATGGAATCTTGCTGAATTGAATTAAATCTAGGAGAACTTTTGGATCTGTGCCATTTTCCTTCCATCTTTCATGACTTGGTATTTCAGAGTCTGCTTCTGAATCCTGCCATGGTCTTCTGTGTACCCTGTTGTCTGTGTATTGATGGCAAAAATCCAGATTTCTTTCTCCATGTCCCTGTGCTCCATTTTGGGTGGCCAGCGTTAGGGGGATGGTGGCTGTCTAGGTCACAGAATCTTAGATTGGAAGAAACCTCAGAGTTCTTCCAAATCAAGTCATCAGATCTGAAAAGGGGCACTCCAGATTTTTAAAAACAATTCTCCTGAACAGTGATACCCTAGATTTTGGAATCTTTCTTCTCTTCAGACACTTCCTGAGAACCTACTTTCTCTGTGTCAGACACTGGGCTCACATTCATGATGTAAAAAGGAGAGAATACAGGTCTTGGAGTCAGAAATATCTAGGTTCAAATCCAGCCTCAAATGCTTACTAGGTAGGTATGATCTTCGTCAAGGCAAATAATCTCTCTGAGCCTCAGTTTCCTCCTCTGCAAAATGGGGATGATAGTACTGCTAACCTCTCATGGTCACTATGAGGATAAAATGAAATAATATACATGAAGCATTTTAAACCTTAAAGTGCTATAGAAATATAAGCCATTAACATCATCATCATTGTCATTGGTATCATCAGAGATACAAAAAGATTTAAGAGATAGTCTCTTTCCTCAAGGAGCATAGTCTGATGGAGAAGACAGAACAAATGCACAAAGAGAGTTTGTGCGAAGTGGCAAATAGCACAGATAGAAAGCACCACAAAGTTCAGATGTGGGTGAGACTCCCCACCATAGGCTGGGAAGGTTACAATGAGTTGACTCTTTTTGTTTTGTATCCAAAAGGGAATTTAGGATCTTAGAGTTAGAAGAAATCTAAGGCATCATCTAATCCAACCTTTTCATTTTACAAATGGGGAAACTGAGGCCCAGGAAGTGGTATATGGGGAAGAACACTGGTGTTAGTTCTGGCTTTGAATCACAGCTCTGCTCCATAAGCTCTGCATGACATTGAGCAAGTCATTCCCCACCCCCACCCCACCCCTTTCAGGTCTCAGTTTCCAAATATATAAAATAGAGGGATTGGACTACGTGATCTTTAAGTTCCCTTTTAGGTCCAAATACTATCCTCCTATAAGTGACTGCCCATCAAGTTAGTGGCAGACCTTGCACTTGAATCCACCTCCTGAATCCCAAGCCCAGTATTCTTTTTCCTCTCAAACTGCACAGTGAAGGGGCAACAGACTAGGTCTCATTTCAGGGACTGCTTTTCAAATTGCAATCAGCTGTAATGGTGCTCTGAGCCCCAGCAAAGCCTGCTCTGCTTGGCTCCTATGCCCAGCAAACCGTTTGTGTTTGCCATGTGTGCCAACTGAGCATGCTCTGAAGAAGCCTAGAGGGAACAGAGTGGCTGCCAGCCAAGGCCATGGTCTGCCATCCTGCTTTCAGCCGCTCCCGTTCCCCAAGCCCCAACTTTCCCTCCTCCCAGAGAACACAGAGCCTTTTGCAAAGACAGAGAGGCTATAGTGATGACAATGAATAAAAGAAATAATAATAAAAATAACAAAGCTTAGTAACCAGGAGGTAAAGTCTAGTCTCAGCTGTGCCCCTCACCAGCTGTGTAATCTTGGATAGGTCACTTTCTTTTCCTCCAACCTCAGCATCCTCAGCTACAAAGTCAGTACGTAGAACTCGAAAGTCCCCTTCTGGCCCATGATTCTCTGTTCTCTCCGCCAGTTCCTGCATCTTCACTTATGGGGAAATGCAGCAACCTAGGAGGATGCCTTACACATAGTCAGGGCTCAATGAAGGCTGAAGGAAGTACCCTCGTGGAGGAGGTCATAGCTCTACCAACATATTAAAGGATCAGATGAATTAATTCATTAGATACAACATCCCTTTTTAAACCTTTACACACAGAACCTTATTTACTCTCGTTCTTTTACTATGGGAATAGTGAGGATGGCATTATCCTCCTCTCCTAGGTGGGGAAATTATTATTATTCTCATTATTATTATTATTTGGCGTACAGAGGTATAAGACACAGCGTTTTCCTTCAAGAAACTTACAATGTAGTGACAGAGATAGAGCACATGCATAAAGTCATCTCTGAAGATGTAAGAGAATCCATGCTAAGGGCCAAATGGTACAGTAGTAAATACTACTGGAGGTCACAGGAGGGAAAGTCCTGTAAACTGGGAAAGTTGTAACACTTAGCTGATTAGTTTTGGATCAAGATGTAAATATAGAATCTTAGAGCAGAAAAATAGCTGGATGGTCCAATGGATAGGGCTCCAGGCTCCAGTCAGGAAGACATGCGTTCAAATCCAGCTTTAGACCCTTACTAGTTGTGTGACCCTGGGCAAGTCACTTAGGCCTGTTTGCCTCAGTTTCCTCACCTGTAAAATAGGCATAATAATAGCACCTAACTCCCAGAGTTGTTAGAATCAAATGAGATAATAATTGTAACGTGATTAGCACAGTGCCTGGCACATAGCAAGTGCCATTAGCCATTATTATAATGTGTTGTGTTATGTGCTAAATGTTAGCTATGTTAGCCCAGTGCTATGTTAGCTACATGTTAGCCAACATCATCATCATCATTATTTACCAGAATTCATTAAGTATCTACTACATGCTAGGCACTGTGCCAAGCACTGGGAATAGAGTAAAAAGGCAAAAACGTGGTCCCTACTCTAGAGGAGCTCATGATGTAATAAAAGGAACCTTCAAAGTCTTCTAATCCAAAACCTTCATTTTACATCAAATGGGGAAACCAGTGCCCAGGGTTGTACATTGGGAAGAGTCATGGTGATACATTAGTCAGGTGTTGTGGTCTTCTCATTCGTGGCCAAGTGGTGCAGATGAAGAAGATCCCGAATTACTCTTAGGCCTAAGGAGGCAATGAGGTATTGTGAGAATCACATTGAACTAAGAGAATGAGGAGGCCTGGTCAAACTCACTGGCCTCTCACTGGAGTGACCTTGGACAAATCACTTCCTGTCTTGGGGCTTCAGTTCCCTTATCTGTCCAGTGAGGGTACTGGGAGGGAATCTCCAAGATCCTTTCCAGCTCCAAGTTTCTGTGGTCTATGATCTCTACCCCTTGGGGCCTATCAGTTTATAAACACACTGTTCTGTATTCAAGAATGGACTCATTCAAAGCTGCCTCCTGAGTCAATGTCCTATCCAAGAATAGAACCCAGGGGGTCCAACTCCCACACCTGTTCCCTAACCACAAACCCACACTTCCTCTGTTGCGTTTTCCTAAAGGGTGTGCTCTTTCCTCTGTCCTAGGATCATTTCTTTCCAGGAGAGCCAATCTTTCCATGGTAGATTTTATTCTCCAACTCCCGAGTCCCTAGCATTGTAAGGTCTCTCCTAATCTCAAGCAAGTATCCTTTCTGGCTTTGGGTTTTTCTCCCTTTCACCTGGTATTCTTCAAGAACAAAATGTTGGTCAACCCTACTATTTGGTGTTTGTGGTATAGAAGGACGGCAGGGGTAAAAGAGAGCCCCTAGATTGGTCTAGGTCCTGGGCTGTAGATGGCAATGTGTCTTGGAGGGAATGAACAAGACCACTTCTTCAAAGGACAGGTCTCTGGGGGGGGGGGGAAGAGAAGATCTCAGATCAGATGTCAACAGAGCCTAAGGGACAGCTGTCCTGCTTGGGGGTGTAGTATGCTTTCCTGAAGATAGAGGGGGAAATGGCACTAAACAGGTCTGACACCAGAGGAAAAAGAAAAATGCTCTTTTAGAATAAATGTAGGAAGGTACTTGAGTGTATTTAGAAGGGGGGAAAGGAGGAGGGGAGGGAAGAGGAGAGGAAGGAGAAAAGAGGAAAGGAGAGAAGTAAGGAAAGGCAGAAATGTATGTAGACAGGTATGTGTCTGTTTATGTGTGTGTGCGCTTGTCCACTTCTGAATCAGAGGTCCATTTACAGATGTATCAGGAAGGGAACGTAAATTGTAGGCAAAGGAATCAGAAGACCCCATTCCAGTTTTGCCACTAATTAGCTGTGGAATCCTAGGAAAAATGCTTAGCTACTCTGGTCTTTGTTTTTTTCATCTGTAAAATAGGGATAATGGTTAGGAAGGTGAAGTGAGGTAATTCTTTGGAAACATTAAAAAGAGACTTAGTAAAGTAAGATGGTATCACTGTCATCCTATTACTGTGCTGAGTTTGTGGATGAGATAACTTTCAACGAGTGAATCCCCTCTGCCCCAGTTTGGACACCATCCACTTGAAAGACTAATTCTTCCAATATTTTTGTTTTTGTTTTGCATCATAAAGACACTTATCAGCACTTCTCCTCTAACCAGGCACCCCCCCCCACACACACACATACACACACACACTCACACACACTCACACACACATACCCTCACTCTGCTCCCTCCTTCTTCTTCATCCAAGGCCTAGAATAGTCTTGAAATGAGTGATGGTCCAGAATGGCCAAAGTTGCCTTTAAAGAGATGGCCCTGGAAATTAGGACACAGGAAAGAATGTAGGACTGATGAGTTCCAGAGCAGCCACTGTTTCACTAGATGACTCAGGACTAATCTGCTTCCTGCTCTTAGCCTCAATTTCCCCCTCTACAAAATGATAGGACAGTATTGAAAACCTAGATAAAATAGTGAAGGTATTGTTAGTGTTCAACATCAGAGTGATGTGGTAGAATGAGGAGACAATTTAGAGACACTTGGCCTGCATTTGAAGTCTATCTTTGGTGCTTGTAGTCTATTTAATCCTGGGCCAAGTCTCCAACTTTATCAGCCTCTGTGTCCTCATCTACGAAATAAGGGGAGCAGAGTAGATCATCTCCAAGGTTCCTTCTAGCTCTGTATTTTATGATCCCATGGTCTTCCCAAAATAACAATAACAATGGACATTGACACAGGCCATCCCAAAAGACTGAGTGCAGGTGTAAGCCATTAAAACTAAGACTGTACAGCACTTGAAAACTTGAAAAACACTTTTCAAGCATTTCAATTTAGTATCACATCAACCCTGTGAGAAAGATACTACAGGTATTATTGGTACCCCTCATTGTACAGATAAAGAAATTGAGGCTTAGGGAGGTTATATAATTTACTCATGCTCATAGACATTAAATAATTTATCTGTGGCCATACAGGTACTCAGTATTAAAGTCTTGAAGTGAGTGATGGTCCAGAATGGCCAAAGTTGACTTTAAAGAGGTGGCCCTGGAAATTAGGACACAGGAAAGTATGTAGGGCTGATGAGTTCCAAAGCAGCCACTGTCTCACTAGATGAATCAGGACTAATCCCCTTCAAAGACAGGATTTGAACCTGTCTTCTTGCTTACTCCAGGTCCAGCACTCTAACCATTACGCCATACTGCCTCCATGAGAATCAGTAAGTCTCTTTCAGATTGGCTCCCATTTACAGAATCATAATATCAGGTCAGTAATCATGTACTAAGTACCCACGATGTGCTAGACACCATGCTAAGCTTTAGGAATACAAAGAAAGGAAAAGTTAGTCCCTTCTCTCCAGGAGTTTACAGTGTAATGGGGGAGACAACATGTGAAAATAAGATAAAGACAGGAGAAAAATGGAGAAAATCTTAGAAGAAAAGCATTAGCATTAAGATCAGCTGATTGAATTTGAGTGCAAAGGGATGCTGAATGGGTGTGGGCTCCAATGAGACCCAACAGTTATGGAATACCACCAATATGACTTATACCCCAACTGTCCATCAAGGAACATAAATCCCAAAAGCGAAAATTACCTGGGAGGATGATAAAAGAGACTAGGAATGGGAAAAAGAGAAATGCTGAAAAAGTGGGGCAGGAAAAGGGAGAAACAGGAGTCAACCTTCTGGGTGACAGATAGCCATAGAGAAGGGCAGATGGCATTTCAGATGTTTTTCCTCTTCAAAAAAATTCATTTATATAAAAATTTTACTCCAGTTGTAGCTGCCCTGAATGTCCCATTCACAGAGCATCTAGCTTGAACTATCACATCCACATTTGGACGTCCAGGCATACTGTGTTCGGTTCATAGGATCAGAGACCTGGAGCTGGAAGGAACCTTAGAAACCATCTACTCTAATCCCCTTGTCCTATAGATGAGAAAACTGAGGCTCAGAAAGGTTGGCTCTCCCAAGGCCACACAAAGAGTGAGCGGCCAATCTAGGCACCTTACCCAAGTCCTTTGACTACAAATCCATTGCTTGGCACACTACACCACAGCTGCCTCTTCCATGGTCTTCGGTAACCCACGCACACATTCGTCTGCATGAGGTGGCGATGCTGGAGATTGGGTATGTGGCCGTCCTGATCTTTAGCTTTCCTTTTGTCAAATCCAGTGGGGACATATCCCTTACATCTGTTTACAAGCATATGCTGCTAGGATTAAATGTGTAAATGTGTAGTAAATGTGCAGTAAAGGGGTTGTTGAATGAACAGATGAATGTGGGGCTCCTGCTGACCCACTCTGAGTAGCAGTTCATACTCCCTTAGTTACATCTCCATTAATGATGGGTTTTCAATGAGCAAACCACATTATCTTATCCTATCCACTCCTCTGTGATGGGTGCAGACCCAGCAGCTACAGTCACACTCAATGAAATGAGGTAAAGAGGGCCTCATACTTATCCCAGGCCTCTTCTTTACACTTACCTCATTCTCCATTGTATCAGAGTTATTTCTACTCTTGTACTTTACCCCTGTTAGATTATAGGCAGTTTGAGGGTAGAGCCTATATAATATTTATTTTTGCACCAACCATAAGTAGTACGTACATAGTAGGTAGCTAATAATGTCTGGTAAATTGAATTAAATTGAGTTACCCCATTTAGGAGTGCCAAGGGTCCAACTATACATTCACCCCTTACCCTATTACATGCATTTTTATTTGTACCACACCTATTTCTGAGGCACTATTAATATCTGTGTATGACCTTGGAAGAGCATTATACATTTGTAGTATTCATTCATTAACTCACTCATTCAACAAGCACTGATGAAGTACATCCTATATGCAAGAGATGGTGTCCAACTAGAATAAAATTGAATGCTGAATAATTGTAATAACCAGTGTTAGCCCAAGGAGAAAAGGGAAAGAAGCATTACCATTCTTTGAGGAGAAAAGCAAGGGACTCAAGGATGTAATGCTGCATACAGTGTCACACTGGTCACCAGATTTCTCCATTATAAAGCGGGGTTCATTTGAGAGGCCATGTGGTTTTAACTGCACTAAGGACTTCTGGGTCATCCTGTATATCAAGATGCAAAATCAAAAGGTATCAATAAAACTCTTGGGGAAAAGATGTTGTGCCCAACTAACTTCAATTCAACATCATTATTAAGCACCTAGTATTTGCAAGGCACTGTGTTAGGTACTGGGGATGCAAAGACAAAATGAAATTTTTTCTGCCCTCAAAGAGCTTACATTCTACTAAGGGATATAACATGTGTGCCATACAAGGTAAATTAGAGAGAGAGAGAGACAGAGAGAACTAATATGTGGAGAAATCAAGGATAGCTTCACAAAATAGGTGGGACCTGAATGGAGCGTTGAAGGAAAACAAGGCTTGTTTGGGCTCTTGGCCTAGCTATGGAAAGCAGAGAGATTTAGTTTGGTTGTTCATTTGTTTGTTTTTTCCAACAATGATCATTTCCTGCTTGGCAACTAGGTGGCACAGTGGATAGAGCACTGGGCTTGGAGTCAGAAAGACCTGAGTTCAAATCTGGCCTCAGACACTTACTAGCTATGTGACCCTGGGCAAGTTACTTAACCCTGTTTGCCTCAGTTTCGTCATCTGTAAAATGAACTTGAGAAGAAAATGGCAAACCACTCCAGTATCTTGGCCAAGAAACCCCAAATGGGGTCAGGAAGAGTTGGACAGGACTGAAAAACAACTGAACAACAACTTCCTGGTCCATAGTGGGATTGAACCTATTACCTAAGGTTGAATCTTATTAGCATTGTTTTTCTTTACTTTGATACTAGGATCTCATCAGTGTGGATGTGGAATTCAATACCTGTATATCTTCACATCCTATGTAATTCTTGTCCATATTCATCAATAAAATGGCTATGGAGGATCTAACCAGTGTGCTGAAAACCATTCTCCAACACTTTTAGAATCTCAGGGGTACCAATGTACCACTTAGTCTGTTTATGTCTGGCCCCTCATTCTTTCACCTTGGCTAGCCCACTGTCTTTTCCAGTTATTAGTATTCTCAATAATGTCTTCTGCATCCTTCCTTGCATGCATGTCATCATTGATTACATTGCGATTAATCAGCCGGCATTTTAAGTACTTACTAGGTGCTAGGCACTGTGCTGGGCACTGGGCATATAGACAAAGAATGAAACAATCTACTGGAAAGAAGCTGACAGCATGCTTATGCCCATTGTTCTTTGGATTATTTGTAATTTTAATTCTTCTGGGATCATGATGTTCCATGATTCACAGACATATAGCATTGCTAGGAAACATTGTATTCATGGTTTATTAACTTATATATTCTTTTACACACCTGAACCTGCCTTCTCTTTGGTGTGATCTCTCTAATGTCCCATTTACTCCAAAATCCTCTTCCTTTCCCATCACCTGTTTTATTCCCTTCCCTATTGGCTTTACATAGACAACTGGATGTTGTCTTCCATCAGACCTCAGCTACAGAAAGTTTGATTTTTAATGAGCAGGAAGCAGGACCACTCAACACTGGATTTCCACTGTCATGGAAGAGCAGGGATTTAGTGACTCTGTCGACAAACTCACCCATCACCTTTCTGTTGGCATCTCTTCTAGGCTCTGTCTCCCCTGCATCTGCATCTTTAATAAGTTTTGCCAGGGTTCTACTGCCCATTGGCTCCATCCTTCAGTCTCTGCTCTGCGTGCCAGGTCTCTCTTTGTGCATATCCATCAGCCCAGTTTCCTTAGGAATGACGAATACACTGCGAGCATATTGGAGATGGAATTATCAAAAACTCGGCACAGGCCAGCCACTGACCATACATAATAAGTTTACTTTCTGGGTTAATTTGGTTACTCAGCCTTGGTACTTAGTGTTTCCAGTCTCCTTGGGCCAGATTTTTTTTATTATTTAAATGGCGATGCATTATAATACCAACAGTTAATCTGGTTAAAGGAAACCCATCCTTGCCCCCACCTCCTTCTTCTTGGAGGTCTGGGACCTTATAGTAGTCCTATTTTATTAGCGATGCCAAGTGAAGGGGGTAGAAAAATCCTTCTCTACCTTTGCTAACTGATTAGAATGTTTCCCAGGGAACACCAAAGCTGGGCCCCAACTTGAGATGTGGTGAAATCCTGTCTGACTAATGTCTTACAGCTGTAGAAGCAAGCCACTCAGGGCTCCCATCATGTGAGTCCTCAGATCTACTATCTGGTTCAGGCTGACATTTAAAAAAAAACCCCACAAAAAAAACAAAAAAACCAAGACCCAAGTAGTATTCTTTTGGTGAGGGTGCATTGGAAACTAGGATTGGAATGAAAAGAGGTATTAGGTTCCGTGGAGCTGCACATCCCTGGCTTCTCTGAGTTTTTTTCTTCCACCCCTCCCCGCTCCACCTGTAGGAAACAGAGGCAGAGAAAGAGTCAGACACAGAGAGATTTTCAATTTTCAACCAATGGTTCCCCAGGTTTTCTGTGGCACGGCCCCAACTGTGGTCCTCGTGTAGCAGGTTGGCTCTTGCCAGAAAATGCCAGCGAGTTGGCATTCACGAGGTGAGAAGATTAACTCAGATAGATGCTGCGTGAGGTGCAAAGGAGCAGAATATAGTTGGCATCCTAACTGCAGGGCACGTGACGCCCCAGAAAGGGTTAAATGGCTAGGAGCTGCATCCGCCCTTCAGGGGGTGATCGGCCAATGGGAATGTGTGGAGATGAGGTAATGCCTGCTAACTCAAGGGAGTAAGGGGAGGGGGTGGGAGGTGGAGCTTATAGGGAACCCGACCAAACTGGTTCTCTCTTTAGCTCGGCTCTCGCCAACCTGTGCTTGCCTTTGAACTTGGTGGCTTCTCCCACCCCCTGAGCCAAGCAGCTGCCAGCTATGGACTGCTGCACCCTTCTGGGAAAAGCCCCAGCCTCAGCGCAGTGGGTTGGGTGACCACGGAGTGTGACCTCTGCCTATGCATGGGAAAGTTGGTGTCGGGGAAGCATGTCTGCCAGACCATTAGCAGAGTTGGGACGGGGTTGCTTAGGTTATCCGGGGCCGATGGCAGATAGAAAATGAATCTCCAGATACCCCGCCCCACCCCATTTGCACCTTGCCCCCTATTCCCAGGACTTAACCTCGTGCCTTTTTGTCTTTCCTAGTTCCCCCTAAGGGGACTGAGAGCGCTTGAAAATGTTTTTAATAGGGCCCAGAAGAATCCTTGAACACATTTAAAAATCACCAAACCTTCCCCCAATCCTCCACCCTGGTTATCTCTTCAAACCCCGCTTCCTTCTCCTTCACTGCAGTTAACCCCACTGGACACACCATACCTTCACCAGAGCAGCCCCAGTAGAGGAGGGTCTGACTTCCTGTGACTTAAGACTTCTCACCCCCTACTGCTTTCCCATAGTCCTTAGGTGCATTCCGACCCTATTTATCAACATCTTATTGACTCCACCACTGCTGACACCAAACCCCAGGCACTCCCTAGGGTGGCTGAGTATTTGGCTCCATTGTTCCTGGAATTTGGGTGCTCGCTGAAGGGAATGAACTCAGATGACTTAACTCATGGGCAGAGGAGAGGGGCTTTCTGTATCACCCCAAAATGTGAAAGATTGGGTGTTAAACTCTATCGCTCCTCCCCAACTCTAGCATTTGGAGTTTCAGGGGGAGGGGCATTATTGAGGTCATCTGGTAGAATCCAGATGATGTCTTGCATGGGGAATAAAGCTTGACCTAGAGTCCATCCTCCACTCCCAGGAGTCTGCACCATCTCCATGTGAACTATTCAGTCTGCATTTCACCCTCCAGTGAGAGGGAGCCTCTTGGAAAGTCCTAGGGAAGAGGCTCTCTGACTTTTCCCAGGAGAAGGGGAGTAGGCTGGGAGGAGAGGGGGCTGTGGTTTCCTCCCACCCCATCCCTCTCTTTCAGCCATTCTGGGAAGGTCTCAGGCATCTCTCTTGTCAGCTGTGAAGTGGTTAAATTCCTTTCCAGCCGAGCTGGCAATCCAAGCCCAGGCATATTAGTCAGATCTCAGTGGGGGGGGGGGGATTGAAGAGGGGTGGGAGTGCGGAAGAGAGAGAAGAGAGGAGGGGCTGTAGTTGAGAACTGCAGAAAGCTATTCTCAGGGGCTCTGAAGTGTAGGGAGGGAGACTCAGCAGGAGCTGCTGCTTCCCAGAAACTTGATTATTTTTAACCCAGGAAGAAGAAAGGAAGGAGACAAGGGAGAGAGAGAGGAAGAGGGGTAGAGAGAGAAGGGAAGAAAGGCAGATAGAAGAGAGGGTATGTGGAGAAAGCAGCAGAAAGAGGAAAAAGAAAAATGAGTAGGAAAAGAAGAAATATAAGGGGCCTAAGGAAAAAATAGCAGAGAAAAAGAGAGAGAGAGAGAGAGAGAGAGAGAGAGAGAGAGAGAGAGAGAGA